ATGTTTTAGATTTACTAAGGGGAATTTCCATCAACTCTCTTTTAGCCCTTCCTACAACAAAAGCTTACTTCACAGGCCTGACAGATATTGTAGTGATTCTACCAGTTGAAGAAAAAAAATATACTCCTTCCACCCCTGCCAGTGCACATAGGTACTGTGGAAGGAAATTCTAGATGGTTTCAGAGCCCCATTGAATTACTCTAAGGAAGACTTGGTAAAAAATCCAATTATCCCTCAATTTTCATAAGTCCCACTATGATCAGAGGATAGCACTGATTATGAATCTTCCCTCCCAAACCACAAACACTACAGATTAGTACCAATTCAGAAAAAAAAAAATTCAACTATCTTCTTGTCCCTAGAGCATAAGTCACCAAGTAAATAGACTCAGGTCATCTTTGTACAGACTGGAAAGGAGACTCAATGTTAGAACAAGGTTCATTCCTTAGGGTACTGGGTTCCAATTCATTCAAGGGGCACTGAGTCAGGTAATGTAAGGAACTGAGCTTTGTGACCTAGGGAGGAGCCCATACCACTTTAGCATGTTGACTCCCATCGGTCCACTATCATCAAATCTGTCAGGTGTTTTTTGGTTCTATAAATCAAGTAAGAACTTGAACTTCCTGTCAGTTTCATTCTTGGGGCTCCCATTTTTGTAGAGAACCCTTGAAAGAATTCAAGATCGTTTGTTTGTTTCCATTTTAAGAGTAAGAGAGGAAGATGAGTTTAATAGCTTGAGATTTATCTATTTCCTTAAACAAGTTAAACTAAAACCTGAGAGGCCCGTTAGCAGAGGACAAAGGCCACTCTAAATGGGGAATGTGACACCTGTAAGGTTCTTCTGCACAGCCTCTTTGTTTATTTTCACTTTATGCTTTTAGTAGAAAATATGATAGAATCCACCACTCAGTATGCTGAATGATGGGAGACTTCTTTCTAATTTTAAGTTGCAGCCTTGGGACTCCCATGTTGCCATGTATCTAAGCCATATTCTCTAACAGCTCAGTAAGTGACATGGCCAAAAATTTCCCTTCCCATCTGCCTTACTACTTTGTCTCTCTCAATTTGTTCAGAACTTATGTGGAAAAAATGGAGGGGAGGGGTCATTCATCAGTTTCCTCAAATCATAATAACATGTTAGGATTTAGAGAGCATGTTTTTCCATGTACAGGGAAGTACATGGAAAAGAGTACAGGGATACCTCCTATAACCACTGTTCTCCAGGCTGAAAAGCTATGATTCCAAAAACTAAATGAAAATGGATAGGCCAGGATCTTACAAAAGCAAGGTGAAGATTAGGAAAGAGCTTCTGTTTGTGCACAGAAATTAATAACCAGCTACTCTATTGATGAGACTTTGTAATTCTTCTCATGTGCATTCACTTCAAGAACAGGAGGATATCAGAAACCATAAATTGAGCTCTGTTCAATAGGGAATCAAGGTTTAAAAAAAGCCTCAATTCGATGCCATTAGCTATAACAACTAGAGTAGAATCAAGTTGCCCACTGGAAGCTAAAGATGGGAATGAGAGAGGCTGGCCTAGGGCCTGACACTGGCAAGGAATCCCAAGGTCATCGCTCCCAGGTCCTTTGAAAACTCAGCAGTACTAGGCACCTTCATTATCTCACGTTGGGGTTTCTGGTAACTACTCTGACTAAAATCAAACCGATGTTCCTCATTGTCTCTCTTGCCCAGTCTATGATTTGTTGTCTGCTGTCAGTTTGTTTTTAAGAGATTATTGTAAATAATGTAAATCACATGCAGGATTTGCTTCAGCTATAAAACGTACATCTAAACTTGCTGACTCCTACCTTGAGCCATTTAGTTGGCACACCTATAATCTCAAGTGCCCCATCTACAATAGCAGCCCAAGACGTGGCTCCAATTCTATCCTTGGTTAGAAGAAGTTTAGCTCGTCACCAAGCCAAACTTGCTGTTATACTTTTCTACCCAAATAGCCCAATTTTAGAGACTGGGCTTCTGTTCTATTTCTGCAGTAAAGCTCCCTCTTCTCCCCCACCCCTTCTTTTAATCCCAGTTCCATTAATGCTGTCTTTGTCTCGACAACCTTATCTGATTCCCCAGCTCCTATAAGCCTAAGACTCTGACTAACCCTGCCCAGATGTTGCTGTAGACCCCCAGGAGGCCTGCTGCTGACGGCTCTCCGTATAGCTTGCAAGCCTGCTGCCCCTCTACTGGCCATCAGCTCTGAATTCCCTTCCACCTTCACTTCAATATGCTTTGCTGTCAGTTTAGCTGACTCTCCCTTGTGCCTGCTATTTCCCACTCTGATTTCCACCATCTGTCCCTCCAGTGTGAGTTTATCTCACTTCTAGAGCCACAGAAGGATGATCTTGGGCTTAGCAGTGCTGAAAGAGCACAGGTTTGGGATCTAATTTTGTGTGTAATCCCAACTTCCACAGTATGAGCTGTGGGTCCTCAGGTATTAAGAAATTTAACCTGTCTTGTTTTAGTTTATCTCTAAAACAGGACCGATAATACTCTTCTGGATTGTTGGAAGTAAATAGGATAATTTGTGTAAGGCATGGAGCATAATATTCAGTATATAGTAGGCATTCAATATACAATGATCCCCCTTAAATCTTTGCAAAGGATTACTGCTAATCTGTTACCATTTTTTTACATCTGAGTTTATCTTTCTTCATTTAGGATGGAAACTATTTTCATGGCCACACACACACACACATACACACACATCAATCAATCAATCAATCAATCAGGTTATATCTGAGAGCCAAAGAACATTCTTTTTTTTTTTTTTTTTTGCTGACGACCTCATTTATTTACTAGTAGAGTACTTTTTAAAATCAAATTCACTAAATACAAATAATACAAAGAGTGATATTTTGATATTACCATTTCAAGCAAAGACAATTTTCTCCACACAGGTGTCTAGCTGGAGAATATCATACATAGCAACTTTGAACTGCAGACTACGTTTGCCTCAAGAACATATTCCAAGCAAGAGCAATGATAGGGAGCAAAAGAACATTCTGATAGAATTTACCAATATATGTTCCCCTTCTTCAGGTGTTAGGCACCTGTGCCTTTCCCAGCCTGCATGGGAAAGGCCCTTAGGTATAAAATACAGAAAGGAAGTTTTGCAACGTCATTGTATTTATTTGGGTAGAGGTCTAAAACTATAACTGCAAGATAAGTACATTGTAGTGTCACTTAGACAGGCAATTGCCAGATAGGGTTGCTTTGTTTTTGAAGTGTTTCCCCAATTTCAGAAATCCAATTCATTGGATATAAGGAGGAGAAAACACGAAAGTAGAAAAGTAAGTTTAAATTCACAGTCTTAGCTATTATATTACTTTATAAAGTTTTCTGGAATTCTATACATTCTCCTCAGTTTAGCTAACTGTTAATCCATATTGGGATTCATTGTCTACCAAACCCAGTTAATACAGTTTATTCTTAACAAGCCCCATTAGTGTGTTATGGATGGATGTGTGCTTAAACTCAAAAGACTTGCACGGATCCTGAAGCTCTAATAATTGTTAACCCATTATGAACTCTCTCTTCCCAAACCCACCTCTATCTAAGCCCCTACCTTCACATTAGACCCATGCTGGCTCTCCTGCTCAGGGGCCTGAAATGATAGCATAGGGGCCATAAATATGGGCTATGTTTCTGTTCAGGGCTCAGGAATCTGAATTATAAAAAAGACACTCATCCTACAAGTGAAACTTTGAGCTTATACTTTCTGCTCTCCGAGGAATATGGAAAGTAAAAAGATGGGTAAAGAGAAAACACGCCTCATATTTCTTGAAAGTTCACACCATATTTATTAAAATACTGAAAACGGAGTGGGTATTCTATGCACGTATTGATTAATCGAGAGGATGACTAAGACAAAGGAGAACAGAGAGATGGCTGTCTTAGGTAACGATACTCACCTGGCAGCCTTAGAAGTCCATATTCAAACTATGGCGATACGACAGAGCAGAATCCAATTTACACAATCATAACATATGTTACTTTCCCCTCCAAAGGATTGGATGTAATTAGTATAATCCTGTCTATTCCCATCTGGACCTGTTGAACCCTAGGATGCATCTGTGGGGCCACTGAGTGTCTTTTCAGGATGCTCACCTGACCTGCTACCACCTCACGTGTGGACGTCCTTGTGCTCTTTGACCACATCTGCAATATGATGGGCACTGCCTTTCTGGAAGGGACAGAGATGCCTGCCATGTCACACCTCCCTCGTGGCAGTGACAATACATTCATTACTCAACAAGGCAGCATCATGGCGTACTGAGAGTCATAGCTCTGACTCAGAATTCCTGTATTTGAGTGCTGGTTAGGTCATTCCGGGTGTCACATACCCGTTTCCTATGAAAACAAAAACAAAAATAAAATACAAAAAACTTGGTAGTACTTTTCTAATAGGGCACTTGAAAGTATTGGATGAAAAAAATGAAGTTTAAATATGTTTTAAATATGCTTCCCAGAGGCATGGACAAATCCCTCACACTAGCCTGTGGACAAGAGACTACATCACAGAGACCAGTATTTCCTATGTGGATAACGAGGGTTAAGTAACATAATCCAATCAGGGGCTGCCTGGGTGGCTCAGTGGGTTAAGCCTCTGCCTTCAGCTCAGGTCATGATCTCAGGGTGCTGGGATTGAGTCCCACGTCGGACTCTCTGCTAGGCAGGGAGCCTGCTTCCTCCTCTCTCTCTACTTGTGATCTCTCTCTGTCAAATAAAAAAAAAAAATAACATAATCCAATCAAAAAGCATTGTTTGGGCCCTTAACATCTGCCAATCTAGGGAAACTAGTTTAATCACCAAGGAATTAAGGATCTAGGTGGTGGTATTAAGGCATAGTTCATGGTCCAAGTGAGCAGGACGGCATCTGGGTAGTCTCCACTGAGCTCCCAGGGATGGAAGTTCAAGGGGTTCATCAGAGTAATGGTGTCTTCCATCGCTCTGGTGAGTGTGCTCAGCTGTAGTTGTTTCCAGAGCTGCTAGCAGAGGACCTCAGCATTTCTTAAGAGCAGGTGGCCCAGGCCTCTCTGCCCGGCCATCTCTGTATTGAACAGCCTCTCGGTGGCCTGGGACCAAGGATTTCCCGGTGAGGGCGTTCTCAGCGGTACCTTTCCTGGAGGGAGAAGAGAACACAGGTATCCATTTGTCTCCAGAACTCTGGCCAGGCTCTAGACCTGTTCCCCATGACTGCTGTAGTCCTTTAGAGCTGGGCAGTGTTCACCATAACACCTGAGTGGAGGTATGGGGGCGGTGAGAGAAGACACACCGGTCATCCATGCCAGACCCTGTCTGAGCAGATCATGGAGAACTATGGGCTGATGGCGCCCCCTGGTGGAAAAAAATTGCTCCCTCTCCACAAGCCCTGAGGAAAGTGTGCTTGCCTGCCGCTCTGGGACACAAAACCCCAGACCCTCATCAGAGACTGAGCTTTGAAATGACTTCTCATCCACCCCTTTCTCCTTGCCTCCCAGTTACCTGCTCATCTGGTCCACATGCTCTGGGAGAGAGCTGCTCCTAGCTAGAAGCAGAGTGGAGCCATTACAGCCGCCTTTTGGCCGCCCATCTCTGCAGGGCTCCCAGGATCTGGGCTTCTCTCCCTGGGCACCTGCCTGCTGCTTCTGGGCCATTCCCCTGGGAGCTGAGCCTTCCTGCTCCACCCTCACTCCATGCATGGCTTTGCTCAGGTAGCAGACCCAGTTCTGCGCCGTGGCTGCTGAGTCAATGTTTGGTGAGCCCTCACTGTGGATCCAGACCCTCGTCCTCTCTAAGACAGGCTCTCTCTGAAGAGCTTATTTTTTAAAAAAGATCCTCTTGAGATGGTGGGGGTGGGGTGGGGTGGCTGAGACGTTTAGGTGGTGGCGAGCACCAAGTATAGGGATCAAATTGAAGAAGTGGGTGTTTATTCTAGGGGTGTGAGTGAGGGGCTACACTCTGAGATACTCCCTCTTCCTCCTTTCTGAGCCCTCAGGATTTCTCCAGGTTTCTTTCCAGCACCCCTCTGGGCATTGACGCCGGTATTAAGAAGCATACGTTTGTTACCTGGGCATACCGTGGAGAGTCATGCCGTTTGATCCTAATCGCAAGCCTCTGAGCTGGGTCGAGTTACTGTCTGTACTTACAGGCACAGAAACCAGGGTTCGGGGAGATGAAGTCTTTCCCAAACCTTCCAAGGAGCAGAGCAAGGTCTGCAACGGAGCCCTTCAGAGGTTGAACTGGTGGTTAAATCGCTGTGCTGGGCAGGCTGAGCACTCCCAGAAGGGCATGGGAAAGCTGCAGGAAGAGTCGCTTGTAGAGAAGAGGCAACAGGGGAGCATAGGGGGTCGGGGAGAAGGAGGAGGTTGGGTCTGTGGTTGGCGTCCGGGATGGTTTGTGTTCACTTGTCCAAGGGGGGATCTCTCACTGTGTGTACTGCAGGTGCAGTAGAGGCTTCTGCCCTGGGTCACATTGGTCACATGCAGCCTCAGCTCTGTGCTGTTGACCCGCTTGACCCGGTAATCTGCTCCAGGACGGGATACAACCTCCTCATCCCCAGGACTCTGCAGAGTGACCAGCACCTGTAGTGACCCCTGGAGGTCCTGTTGGTACCAGCTCATCCAGGGGTACTGGGAATTCCTCAGGATGCAGTGCAGGGTTTTAGCCTGTCCACGAGCTACCAGGACCCACCTGGGCCTTTGCTCCACCAAGCTCGCCGTGGCACCTGAAATACACAGTCAGGCCAGGCTAAAGTTCCCGAGGGTAACAGTAACTCCCACAAATAATCATCTGCATCCAAATCCCAAAGAGGGGGAGGCCCATGAGCAATGCCAGCAGCAGACTCCTGGGAACAGAAAGAGTGCTTTCTGCGAGGGTGCTATGCCGGGGAGGGTCTTAGCAAGACTGGGACCTAGGAGCAAAACTTTCTGTCCCTCTTTCCCTCCCCCAACCCATGGACTGGCTTTTTCTGCCTGGCCTCTGACCTGTACTCATGGTAGCCATGAGCACCCAGCCCCACAGAATGGATGGCAGTCCCATTCTCTGGCCCCATAGGCTTTCTCCAGCAAGGCAGCGGGACAGGGCCAGAAGAACAGGATGCGGGTCTATAAGGTGACAATTAGTAGCTGACACTCTAGGCCTGAAACTCAAAAGGGAGGGGCTTTTCCAGGAAGCTCAATATTTTATCTCATTGTCTCACTGAGGTTCAAACCCCATGGGGTTTCCTGTTTCCTGCATGCCAACGACCCTAACACAGACAGGTGCACACTCCCCAACTTCACGGAGTGCCTTACTGAAGGTACGTGGCCTGCACCCTCTCCACTGTGCTCCAGAGAATCTGCACTGCACATCTTCACAAGGGATTCAAACATCTCAGTGCAAGCGAGCAGGCGGCTAGATTGAGTAAAGACCTCCCTCCCCGTATGCCTCGCACACGCACAGAGACTGCTCCGAGGCCTTCTTGGGCAGCACTCAGTGGGCTCACATTTCTGATTCCCATGTTCTCCTCTGTAAGGTCAACTAACAAATTAAACATAAGAGACTTAATTACCCCTGTTGGAAATAAGGGAAGAGACTTACCTCCTGTCCATTTTCTTAGAACATTTACTTTAGAAATCTTGTAATTTTAAGTTCTTTCTTTGAAATATATGTAAGTCACCCAGAAATGTTTTTCTCTAGGACCTGCAATGAATCTCTTTGAAATACGAACAACAAAGTGAGCCTAACCTAATTTAGAGCACATGCCTCACACCAAGATGTAAAATTATGCCCTGCCAGAAAGATAGGGCAAGATGACTTGCCCTCCGGGTAAACCTGGATGGGACCCCCAGTTAGCAAGTGACTCCGGGATGTCCTCTTCAGCCTCTGTTTTGAGGACTGGTTGTCACTTATCTCGAGAATGTGTATGTAATGGGTTGTGTCTGATGGTCTATACAAAAGGCTGGGATTTCTGCCTGTCTTTGCACTATCCTAACCAAATGCCTGGGATGTATACATATCACATTCTGATTTAATGCTTATTCAATAATAAGACTTCTTTCTTTCTTTTCTACTTCCGGGGAGAGGTTTCCTGAGTTGAGAAAAGTTCTGATTTTTTGTTACATTTTCCCGACAAGGCGCAGTGCTGGTGCTACCTAGTGCTCTGGACTTTGGACTCAGTTTACCCATCTTGAGATGAAGAGAATAATGAGAGTGATTTCATAGGAGTCAATAGATCCGTACACAAAAAAAATTCTTGGAATACAGTTTGGCACAGACGGAGTCCTTAGTGAGTTGACTTCTGTCACGTCAGTGGTAAATTGTCAGTTCAATTTACATATGACAGAATTTATGGCAGGATTTACCTCCCTTTATCTCTCTCTCAGTCACCAGCTGAGATGAAAATCACATGTTCTCATAGCTTTCTAACATTGGCAAGAGGAATCGTTTTCCAGAAAGTTTGGAAACCAGTGATCTGGGATATTAAATTTAAAAAAAAAAAACCCTCTCAGGGCACCTCGGTGGTGCAGTCAGTTAACTTGGTCTCAGCTCAGGTCATGACCTCAGGGTCCTGGGATGGAGCCCTGCATCAGAGTCCTCACTCAGCAGGGAGTCTGCTTGAGGTTCTCTCTCCCTCTTCCTCTGTCCCTCCCACTCATGTTCCCTCTCTCTCTCTCTCTCTAAAATAAATAAATAAGTCTTTAAAAAAAAAAAAAGACCCTCTCTTCACCCTCAGCATTTGACAGGCAAAAACATGGGGACACATAGGGGTCTAGCAACCAGACTTCACTATTTCAAGACCTGGGATCGCACTGTATTCACGTCGGTGCTCCCAGTGTGGAGTCTGAGCCTTACGGAGCCCTTGATGAGGGAAGAAGGGAGCCGGATGGAGCCAGGTGAGATCACGGACCCATCACTCTGGGAAGCTGACACATCGGGGAACAGCTGTGGCCTGACGTCCTGGGGCTTTGCGCCTCCCAGATGCAATATTTTTGTTAATCTGCTGACATATAAATACTTACCACAATACGGCTCATGTGGTTCTAGCAAAGAGTAACAGTTATTGATGCTGCGTGCTGACAACATAATACAGTTGTCTTCATAGCTTTGCAATCTCTGTGGTTCTGGATTTATTTTTTTTTTAAGATGCTCATTTTCATTATGTACAATTTGGGGTAGAAAGTGGATTTGTTTAATATTTTCATATCAGGCGACTTCAAATGTGCATAATCTAATCGTGCACAAAATGTCCATCTCCCAGCATTCCAAGTAACATGTGCTGCTTCTCTTTTGGCTTTTGCTCTCTTACCTCTTCCCAACCTCTTCTCTCCAGAGAGGGCGGGGGATGATGCTCTGGGAAGCATTGCCCAAATCACACATCTTGAACACTAGAAATGTGTATGTGCCCACACAGAGGCGTCCTCACCTGACAAGCCACGTGCATCGCAGTCTGAGGTTACTGTGGAGAGAGTGACTCTGGGGATCAGGGACAGGCACTGGAAGAGGAGAGCAAATCATAACTGGTTGGGGGAGAGGTGAACAGGGAGAGAAAAGCCCAGTGCGTGGCCAGAGGGAGCCCAGGAGCAGAAACCCTGAGGCAGTAGGCACTGGCTCCCAGCTCCCTCCCTCAGGCAGGCACTCTGGCAGGTAGACAGATTTCAGGATAAGGGATTCTGGCCCCATCTTGGTTTACAGGGCTGGCTGACCTGTCTCCCTGTCGCTCCCTCCCTTTGCCTTAATCCCCAAATGCGATTGGGATCAGAGTGTCTCTGACACTCCTGTTATCTCTTCCCTGGATTCCTGTTCCTCAAGGTCAGTGCCTCCCCAGCTCCTCCTCTTGTCCTGGCCCTGCTCCCATCCTGGGCCAACCTCCCTGCTCCCATGCCCAGAGTTGGCATTATGGTTGCTGCCCTGGGAGATAGGTTTTTTCCTCCCACTGCACCCCAGTTCCTACTCAGGTGCTCACAGGAGCAGCCAACAACCTCAGCTGGTCCTTACCAGCTTTGATGAACTCAGTAAAAAATGAAAAGAGTACGCATACCCTGGGTGGAGGCATAAACAGATGCTCCAGGCCCTGTCCACCACGGTTGGAGCTGAGTGCCTCTGTGATATGTGGTCCGGTTTCTGGGCTGGGGGATGCCTCCTGGGCACATGTCCTTGTTAACTTTTCAGAGCCTCTCCATTGTCTGTTGGAGAAAAGACACTGGGGTCAGTGAAGTGATTTCCAGCTTTGGCTCAGCTATGTCAGAAACTGGATAGAAAAAACACCAGGCCGTGCCCGGGTGGCTCAGTGGGTTAAGCCTCTGCCTTTGGCTCAGGTCATGATCTCAGGGTCCTGGGATCAAGCCCCACATTGGGCTCTCTGCTCGGCAGGGAGCCTGCTTCCCCCTCTCTCTCTGCCTGCCTCTCTGCCTACTTGTGATATCTCTCTGTGTCAAATAAATAAATGAAATCTTTAAAAAAAAAAAAAACGCCAGGCATACAATGAGATGTGTGTCCCCTCCCTAAGAAGCAGTCAGCAGATGACAACCGCCTCTACCAGGGCAAGCCGTGGCAGGAAAGCACTTCTGGTAGCTGGGCACCCTTTGGGTGTCTGTAACCTAAGCAAATAATGGAAAGAGCACTGGTCTGGGAGCAGATCCCCTGTGTGCCAGTGTTAATTCCGCCTCTAACTGCGTGGGGGATCAGGCACTTACTCCTGTTACCGCTTGGTATTTCCTTTGCCTCATCTAAAAATTGAGTGAACCTAAATTCCTTTTCACTCTGGTGTTCTAATATTCTAACATTCCTTCTGTGCTTTTATGGTTTGAAAACCAAAGCACTTGTCGGTGGGGACCCTGGGCCAAGCCCCCAGTGGAGTGAGAATCACTAAATGTGACTTCTCTGGCAGGCAATTCTTGGAGGGAAAGGTAGAGCACCAATGATCCCAAGGGCCAGTTTACATTTATCTCCCATTCTCTCCCTCTTCTTCCCCTCCCCTCCCCACCCTCCTCTTCCTCCTTGCCGCTCCCCAGGAATATGCAGAAACTCAGGGCTGACCCAGACTTGCCCATCTGGAAAGCTGATTATGGCTCCTTCACCTCTATGTGTCCTTCCAGGGATTAGTAGCAAAGACTCCTCTGGGAGATGGAAATCATAGCCTTCCCCGAACACCCCCTCAGAAACTTCTCTCCTTCCTCTGCTGCATGTCGTCAGTCTCGCCCTCACCCCCAGCTATGCCCCAGTTCCAGATATAGAAAATGCCCATAAAAACTGGGGCTTGGGGCAGGTGCCAGAGAGCAGAGTGCTCCGTAAGGACATCCAAGGATATAGGGATGGGGATTGCAGAAAGGGAGAGAGAGAGAAATAGAGACAAGGAAATAAAGAGAGAGAAAAAGAGACAAGGAAAGAACAGCAGGGAAAAACTAAACCCAGGGAGGACCCTGTCATGGGTTGGGGTGGAAGAGTCTAAGGACCTTCTCCTGAGAATTTCATGTCAAGTCCCTGCTCTGGGACAAGAGCACTCTGCTCTGCACCCTCACTGGGCACCCCACACCTCCAGAGTTATGTAAGTGGCACCACTCTGAATCCAGAGGATAATCAGATCAGAAGAGCCCCAGTCTGTCCCTCCCCCATGGCACGGTGCCTGCCACAGGTAGAGGCACATATAAACCCATACTTCTTGAGTGTCCGTCTGTAGGAGAGATGCTCCAGACCCCAGGAGCCATGACCTGTGCCCTGCTCTTCAGGCTTCTCCTACTTATGGCCCTGGTGGCCTCCTCCCAAGGCAAAGGCCTTGGCCCCACATCTCGCCTGCGTTATTCCAGGTTCCTAGACCCTTCCAATGTCATTTTCCTGCGCTGGGACTTTGACCTTGAGGCAGAGATCATCACTTTTGAGCTGCAGGTCCGGACAACTGGCTGGGTGGGCCTGGGTGTCACAAATCGCTACACCAGAGTAGGGAGTGATTTGGTTGTTGGAGGAGTCCTGCCTGATGGCAACGTCTATTTCTCGGTAAGTCTGAGGGTGATTCCCTTCCGAGGATGAAGGTCTCTTGCTGGGTTGAGGATATCTCTGGGTCCAGGAAGGATCCACATTTTCCAAACTTATCCAGGCACATGCCCAGAACACCAGCTGACTACTGATCTCTCCTTAC